TTTAAAGTAAAATGCGGAACTCTATATGGAGCTCCCTGAAATCAAAATGTGTGCACAGCTTCGTGACTCTTAGCCTTGTCTACATAGCTGTTTCTGCCTGGGCTGCCCTTCCTCTCTGCCCAAGCAAGTATGTCCACCTCGTTCAAGGCCTTGCTTCAAGGTGGCCACCTCTGTGAAATGCTCACTCTTTTCCCAGGCAGTGAGTTATTCCTTCCTTTGGGCTCGTACTGCACTCCTCTGTTACCTTTTTATAGCGCTTGCCATGTTTTGTTGTTATTTTTTTTATTTCTACCTCGCTGCCCTGTCTGATTAGGAACTCCTTGAGGAAAGGAACTGTGCCACGTTATTATTATTAGTAGTAGTAGTAGTAATAGTAGTAGTAATATTTTGCCTTATTTTTATAGCCTTATTGAGCTCAGTGTCTGACATACAGTATACAACCAAATGTTTCTATTTGTTGTTTTTGAAGTTTTTATAATGATATTTATATCAGACACAAAGAGTACACCAAATGTCTAAGTACAGTTTAAACAAAATACCAAAATTAACACCAGTATTCCCACCACCAAGCCTATGAAAAAGAGTACTACCAATACCTTTTAAGTATAAGTTTTTAACTATATAAGTAAATAAATGTTACCTGTTTTCTTAGTTTTGCTTAGTGTTCTAGCTCTTTGAGGTAATTTCAAATCTTAATTTGAACACATCCTGTAATAAGCTATTTTTCCAAGTGTTAGCATCTGAAAATATAAGCTTTTCTTCTATATCATCTTCTACTCCATTATTAAGCATGTTGACTAAACTAAGACCAAGGACAAATCTAGAGACCCCCTTACATAGTTGTGATTACTGTTGCCTGTGGCTGTTCAGCCAGTCACCTGACTATTCCATCATACAAGCCTCATTTCAAGGAGAGCTAACATTTATTTGGTGTTTAACGTATAATAAACCATTTATATGTGACAGCTTAATCTTTACAAAAGTCTTCCAGCATTCATGCATTCCTCCCATTTTGGAGTTGAGGAAACTGAGGCTCAGAAAGGCTACCTTACTTAAGATCACCTGGCTGAGAATTGGGCAGAGTCAGGACTAGAATCACGATGGGCCTTTGTCCCGACCCATACTTTCTCTTCTGTTGTTCACTGGTGTATCAGGGAACACCTAATGAAAACTTTTTAGAAATGAAGATTCCCCAACCCACTTGTCATCAAGGCCAGAAGGTTATGTTCACTTTGAGTAAGTCTGTGTTGGCTCTAATGGCGCTTGCTTTCTGCTCTTCAAAACAGATGAAAGACTCAAGGAAGTAATGGTAGCCTAAAATTAAGACTATAATTTGGCAGAGACAAATATAGAGCCTGATGCCTGACTGCTTTCAGTTTTTGTAATACTGGGCATATTATTTAGCTCTCTGCCTCAGTTTACATATCTGTACAATAGGAATAATAACAGAATTTTCCCTTAGAATTACTGTGAAGATTAAGTGATTTAATACCTGTAATATGCTTAGAATCAGGCCTTTACTAAGTACACAGTAAGTCTCAGCTATTGTTGTTTCTGCCAAGAGTGCTGTTATTACTGGGAAGTCAGTGTCCTGCATGGACACCTGTCATCAATGTGGTGTGATGAGCTCCCCTTCTTTAGGGTCATGGAGCAGCCTCCAGGCCAAGACAGTCATCAGCATGGAAGGAGCTTTCACAAAAACATTTTTAAATATTTAGGTTTGTGGCAAAAGATTAAATGACACATAAATACACAAGTGTGCATTCTTTTTCTCTCTCCCAAAACAAACCAGGAATTCCTAGATTCTTCTAAGAACACAGGATTTGAAAGTGACTAGAAGTACTCTTTGTTTCCTTGCTTTACACAGGATGTCTGAGGAGAAGCATATGCTATTCCAGATGAGTGGCCACAAACAGAGGTCAACTCAAAACTTTCTCTCTGGACAGAGCCAAGCAAAATCATCCTCTGACATTTCGGAACAGCAAAGCCACAATCTTCTAATGAAGTCTTGCTGCAGCTGATGCAGTAACATCCCCAAATTGTGGGGCAGGGGATGGGAAGAAGGGAAGTGACGTGTATCCTTCCTAAGCAATTTATGCATACAAGTAAAGAGCATTATCATAGAGTTTGAGGTCAACATCTGCCTCAGTTCAAATCCCATTGTGGTCGTCCGTGTACTAACCATGGACAACTTACACAACCTCTCGGGGATTAATCTCTCAAATGGGGCCAGGAGTTCTGGAAGCAGGGGTGTGCAGGACACAGAATGAGATGATTTGGCTTTGGCTCTACCTGTACAACCCCTGGGTCCTAAGTGGTAATGAATATGAACTGCCTCACTCACCTCAAAGAAGCTCTGGGACTTAGGAAAGAAATTTCTAGAATTGGCACCTGATAAAATTTTCACTAGGCAAATAAAGGCAGAGTGGTGAAAATAAGTACCAGTTAGTATGCGCTCCTTGTGGCTGGAACATTCGCCATAGCTCACTCATGCATTCTTTCTCTCGTGCACGTACACACCACACACTCAAACTCACCCACCTGAATAATTTCCATGCATGTTTTAAATCTTAATTCATATACAGTTTCCTCAGAGAAGCACTCCCTGTCACCTAGACTGAATTAGGTACCTCGCTTGTGTGTTCTCTTAATACCTTTTGGCTTTCCCTCATTGATTCTCACAGTTGGTAATTATATATTTGTGTAATGATCTGATTGATGTTTGTCCTTACTTTTCTTATGAAAGCCTATCTTTTTTCTCCCTGAGGTTATTCTTTCTATTTTGATGTTAAAATGTTCCTTTTGAAAAATTGTCCTTATTTGACAAAATTTAAAGTTGACAATGTTATGCTGCTTTTGTTTTTTGCCTTCCTTCACCCCCTTCCCATTCTGGGGTTGGAAATCCTACTGATTCGAGGAATCTCTGGTTTAGTAAAGAGATAACCAGGGTAGCTGAGGTCAAGACAATTAAATAAGGTCTGTCCCCATGCTACAGTGCTGGTAATCACATCTGTATCCTCTGGGCCTAGCACATTACCAAGCACGTAGTAAGGGCTGAGTAACTATTTGTGAAATATATAAATGAATAGATTCTCTGCCCAGCCTCAAGACCTGCTGGAATACAACTTGTATGCCTAACTCCCTTGTCTTCCCTACCCTCTAGCTAAATATTTCTGTGACCATAAATGTGACTTCAGCATTCCTTACTGCTGAATAGATGAGAAGCATGTACCACTGCAGATGAGTGAACACATGGTCTATCCCCACCTGTTCTAGTTCATCTGTTTACATGCTTTCCTTACAGTTGAAGGGACTGCTATGGTCTGCTAAAAAAAAAAAAAAAAAAAAAAAAAGGCAGTATCTTGATTACTGAGAGTACCTGAGAGCACCTCTCTTACCCACATGGCTTTGTTCCGGCTCTTCCCTCTACCTGGAATGCCTGTTTTACTTTAGCAAAATCCTACTAGTCTTTTCAAACTTAGCTTGTGTTCCTTTCTTTTAAGAAGCCACCTCTGTACCATTCCACTTGTCAAAAATAAAATGAGAACAAGTTAGGGAAAATTTGAAAGTTTACTATCTTACAAAAAGTACAGATTGCCATCAGCAAGACTTCAAGTGGTAAGAAGCTCACCTTATGGCAGTTACAGTGCAGTTTATGAAACATTAAGGAGAAAGTATTTTGACCTTTGTAGTCATTGGCTGTTATGTGTTAACATTTTTTTTTTTTTCAGGGCAAACAGGACTGTTTAAACTGATTTGTCTATAGCTGATTGATTTAATTTTCCTGAATCATGCTGACAAGGACCTAAAGCTTACGTTTTAATTTCATCAAATCATGCTGACAGGGGGATAAAGCTTATGTTTTATGCTTTGTTTATAATGAGAGCTAGCAACTCAGGGAAATCAGAATGACTTAAGTTTTACTACTTGATTCTGGGCAGTTGGCCTTGGGGTACATATCTAAATGGTGGCCTCTATCTTTGTATAATCTTTAGCATATTCCTCACCTCCTGTGCCCATCCACAATATTTTGCATTTTGTCTTTACCATCTCATGAACCACACTATATTCTATTTGTCTATTTATTTGTATAGCTCCTCCACTAGATGGGAGCTTCTTGAAAGTAAGAACTCTGATTCATCTTTGTTTCCCCAGCACCCAATAGGGGGATGGGATTGCTAGTAGGTAGCAGTACATGTTTGTAAAAGGAAAGAAATATATCAGTTATTATTGTCCCCCAAATGCTAAGTTACAGACAAATACAAAACCTTAGTGACAAAGAACAGTAGACATTTATTTTTGCTCACTAGTTTGTTAGTTGACTAGGTGAGTCTGATGATCTGGGCTGGTCAATGCTGGTTACCTAGGAATATTTGCTGGTGTCGCCTGGGTTCTTTCATATATCTGGGAAATCACCTGAGACAACTGAACAGACTCAGCTCTGTTGCACATCTTCTGTCACCCAGCAGCCTTGTCAGGGCATATTCTTGTGGCCAAGTTTGAGGAGCGAAAGACAGAACAGAAGCACACAGTCCTTTTGAGACCTAGGCTTGGAAAACTGGCCCAGTCTCACAACTGCCTCATTCTCTTGGCAAAACAAGTCACAAGACTGGCATTGATTGAAGGGGTAGGGAGGTAGAGCCACATCTCAGTGTGAGAAGCTGCAAAGTCTCATTGCAAAGGGTGTTGACACAGGAAGGGTGGAAAATGGGGACCACTTTTGCAATCTCTGCCATAATGAGGGAGCCAACAGGGAAACACCTTATCAGTTTCTTTCCAAAATGATCATTTTTATTACCTTTACATTTAAATGAGTTTATCAGGAAAGTTTCTAAAAAAAAAAAAGGAGTCATGGCCTTTCTTGGGAGAGAGTGACTTCCCCACCATAAAAGGCATTCAGTAAGAAGCTGAATTCCATGGTCATAGAAATATTAGGAGGAGAACCCTTCCTCTACCCCTGAGAGTCAATGTGTTCACATATTTTCCATCTTTCTTTCCAGATCAGCAAAGACCCAATTTTTGTACCAGGCGTCTGGGGGCCTTATTTCTCAGCCATGGTACCTGGGTTCTGGCTGAATGAAGGTGGTCAGAGTGTTACTGGAAAATTGGTAAGTTGACACTTTCTCAATAGGGTCATGGATGTTTTTATGTCATTGACTAGTCCATTTTATCACATGACCCATATACCCAGCATCTGGAGGATTTGCAGACCCCTGAATCGGGGTTTACTTTCTCTTAGCGCACAGCTTAACATGTCGTACTCGTGCAGCTTGTGTTGCTCAAGGAAGAAGTGTTACAGCAGGCAGTGATGACCAGCCCTTCATCTCACCTGATCTTCCTTTACTTCAATCCATTTTTCTCAGAGTGATGAGAGTGGTATTCTACTCCATGAAAATGACATGTTACTCCCCAGCCCAAATCCTTCAGTTTTCCCCATAGCCGCTTGAGACATGGCTCAGATAATTTTCTGGCTACATTTTACAGTTCATGGTCTATCACCTCCAGTCCCACACATGTGCCTGTTATTTACACTAGATTGCCCTCCTCACAGCTTCTCCATGCCTCCTGTCATTGCACTTCTCTGTCCCTTTATACAGGCTACTTTCCCTGCTTGGGGAGTTCTTTACTATCTCAATAATTTTACTTGTCTTTTAAGATCCAACTCCAGCTCTTAGCACACTCTGTTATTCTTATTAGTCACTAATCCCCTTTTCTAGAACACTCTGAGCCCCTTAAAAACAAGGGCCATGCGGGACACAGTGGCTCATGCCTGTAATCTCAGCACTTTGGGAGGCTGGGGCGGGCAGATCACCTGAGGTCTGAAGTTCAAGGCCAGCCTGGCCAACATGTTGAAACCCCATCTCTACTAAAAATACAAAAATGAGCCGGGCTTGATGGTGGGCGCCTATAATCTCAGCTATTCAGATACTCTCCTAAGACAGGAGAATCACTTGGAATCTGGGAGGCACAGGTTACAGTGAGCTGAGATCGCACCACTGCACTGCAGCCTGGGCGACAAGAGCAAAACTCCATCTCAAAAAAAAAAAAAACTCCACAAAATAAAGACAAGTTCTCTTTGTATCCAGCTCAGTGCCAGGTTCATAGAAGGTACTTAATACAAACTTGTTGAATTATTAGGGCTGTCCAATAGGGGAGACAGAAGATTCATAAAAGTGAGATGAGTGCTGTAACAGAAGTACATGGGACAGAGTTGGCACAAAGCTAGTTTAGGAAACTCTTTACAGGGGAGAAGGCATTTGTGCTGAGCCCTAAGAGATAAATAAGGACAAACCAGGCAAAGAAGGGTACAGATAGTCACATTGGTAGGAAACTTGTATGGGAAGAAAGACGTGGAAGTGAAAAATAACAAGGCTAATTTGAGGGTAATGGCAAATAGTCCAGAAGTTCAGCTGTGGCACAAACTATTCTTAGAAGAATGGCTTACAATAAAAGTTAGAGAGCAGGGCAGAGACCACATCTCTGTAAAACATGCTAAGGAATTGAACTTCGTCTAGCAGACCACGGGGGAACCAGTGAAAGGTTAGAAGAGTGTGTGGACATATTCATATCTCAGTCATAAAAATCTCTGCTTAGAAGCCATGAGGATAAAGGCCTGAGGACACATAACCAGAGTCAGGGAGATTAGTTTTAGTAGATTAGTCAACAGACAAAAAGCCACAAGGACTTGAATGAGGACAGTAATAATGATGACTGGGAATTGAGGTCAAGAGATTGGCAGGCTTCTGAGAGATCAAATGTGGAATACAGAGAAAGTGAGACCTACGCTCAGTTACACACACTCACATTTACTGTTCAATTGAAAATATCTGCTTATGTTATGATCTAATTTGCCTACCAACTCTTCTAAATGTTCAGCCAATTAAAAATGATCTTATCCAAAGCTGGATGTGCATGCAAATAACTGTTAGTTTACATTTCTTAGTATAATGCTATTTTATACATGACTGCTTCAAATTCTCTTTCAAAGTAAATGGAAGCATAGGTGGGTAGATGGATTCAAAGAGCATGTTCTGTGCGATACTGTTGTGCCAGGCTACAGAAATGAATTAAATGAATTGGACCTCATCAGTCCCTGGTTTTAAGGAGCTCATACTTCGATGGGGAATCCCTGAGTATGAAATAAATCATGTTTGATTGGTCTCAGTAACCAATGCTAGAAAAGTTGAGAAGGAAGGCATCATCTATGGCTACAGTACAGTAGAAATGCAGACCACTTTATATTCTCCTATTTAAACTTGTGTGATGTACTTAGACAACTTATTTTATTTTACTTTAAGTTCCAGGATACAAGTGCAGAACCTGCAGGTTTGTTACATAGGAATATGTGTGCCATGGTGGTTTTCTGCACGTGTCAACCCATCATCTATGTTTTAAGCCCTCCATGCATTAGCTATGTGTCCTGAAGCTCTCCCTCCCCTTGCCCCCGACCCCCTGACTGACCCCAGTATGTGTTGTCCCCCTCTCTGTCCATGTGTTCTCATTGCTCAACTCCCATTTATGAGTGAGAACATGCAGTGTTTTGTTTTCTGTTCCTGTGTTAGTTTGCTGAGGATGTTGGCTTCCTGCTTCATCCGTGTCCCTGCAAAGGACATGATCTCATTCCTTTTGATGGCTGCATAGTATTCCATTGTGTGTATGTGCCACATTTTCTTTATCTAGTCTATCACTGATGGGCATTTGGGTTGATTCCATGTCTTTGCTATTGTAAATAGTGCTACAGAGTTCCAAGATGGCCAAATGGGAATAGCTTCAGTCTACAGCTCCCAGCGTGAGTGACACATAAGACGGGTGATTTCTGCATTTCCCACTGAGGTACCAGGTTCATCTCACTGGGGCTTGCCAGACAGTGGGTGCACCCAGGAAGCACAAGGGGTAAGGGATTTCCCTGTCCTAGCCAAGGAAAGCCATGACAGACGGTACCTGGAAAATCGGGACACTGCCACCCTAATATTGCACTTTTCCAGCGGTCTTAGCACACGGCACACCAGGAGATTATATCCCACTCCTGTTTCAGAGGGTCCCACGCCCACAGAGTGGGCTCACTGCTAGCACAGCAGTCTGAGAGCCAACTGCAAGGTGGCAGCGAGGCTGGGGAAGGGGCATCCATCATTGCTGAGTCTTGAGTAGGTAAACAAAACAGCTGAGAAACTCGAACTTGGTGGAGCCCACCGCAGCTCAAGGAGGCCTGCCTACCTCTGTAGACTCCACCTCTGGGGGCAGGGCATAGCTGAACAAAAGGCAGCAGAAACTTCTGTAGACTTAAACATCCCTGTCTGACAGCTTTGAAGAGAGTAGTGGTTCTCCCGGCATGGAGTTTGAGATCTGAGAACGGACAGACTGCCTCTTCAAGTGGGTCCCTGACCCCTGAGTAGCCTAACTTGGAGACACCTCCCAGTAGGGGCCAACTGACACCTCATACAGCCACGTGCCCCGCTGAGATGAAGCTTCCAGAGGAAGGATCTGGCAGCAACATTTCTGCAATACTTGCTGTTCTGCAGCCTCCACTGGTGATACTCAGGGTTTGGAGTGGACCTCCAGCGAACTCCAACAGACCTGCAGCTGAGGGTCCTGACTGTTAGAAGGAAAACTAACAAGCAGAAAGGACATCCACAACAAAACCCAATCTGTACATCACCATCATCAAAGACCAAAGGTAGATAAAACCACAAAGATGGGGAGAAACCAGAGCAGAAAAGCTGAAAATTCTAAAAATCAGAGCGCCTCTTCTCCTCCAAAGGAACACAGCTCCTCGCCAGCAACAGAACAAAGCCAGACAGAGAATAACTTTGATGAGTTGAGAGAAGAAGACTTCAGACGATCGTTAATAAAAGACTTCTCCGAGCTAAAGGAGGATGTTCAAACCCATCGAAAAGAAGCTAAAACTTTGAAAAAAGATTTGACAAATGGCTAACTAGAATACACAGTGCAGAGAAGACTTTAAATGACCTGATGGAGCTGAAAATGATGGCACAAGAACTATGTGATGCATGCGCAAGCTTCAGTAGCCAATTCAATCAAGTGGAAGAAAGGGTACCAGTGATTGAAGATCAAATGAATGAAATGAAGCCAGAAGAGAAATTTAGAGAAAAAAGAGTAAAAAGAAATGAACAAAGCCTCCAAAAAATATGGGACTATGTGAAAAGACCAAATCTACATCTGATTAGTGTACCTGAAAGTGACGGGGAGAATGGAACCACTTGGAAAACACTCTTCAGGGTATTATCCAGGAGAACTTCCCCAACCTAGCAAGGCAGGCCAACATTCAAATTCAGGAAATACAGAGAACACCACAAAGATACTCCTCGAGAAGAGCAACCCCAGGAGACATAATTGTCAGATTCACCAAAGTTGAAATGATGGAAAAAATATTAAGGGCAGCCAGAGAGAAAGGTCAGATTACCCACAAAGGGAAGCCCACCAGACTAACAGCGGATCTCTCGGCAGAAATGCTACCAGCCAGAAGACAGTAGGGACCAATATTCAACATTTTTAAAGAAAATACTTTTCAACCCAGAATTTCATATCCAGCCAAACTAAGCTTCATAAGTGAAGGAGAAATAAAGTCCTTTACAGACAAGCAAATGTTGAGAGATTTTGTCACCATCAGGCCTGCCTTACAAGAGCTCCTGAAGGAAGCACCAGATGTGGAAAGGAACAACCGGTACCAGCCACTGCAAAAACATGCCAAACTGTAAAGACAATCGATTCTAGTAACAAACTACATCAACTAACGAGCAAAATAACCAGCTAACATCATAATGACAGGATCAAATTCACACATAACAATATTAACCTTAAATGTAAAT